TGCCTATGCTGACCACCCTGTTTGCTATAAGGCAGTTCCAAACCATGGACTTAAGAATAGTATTATAAAGTGTTCAATAGAGCACAGTGATGCCCTTCTTTCATTTTAGAGCATAGATTTATTCATTTATTCACTCATTCACTTTTCATTATGAAATAACTATAGAGATTACAGGAAGTTGCAAGGAAATATGCAGGGAGGACTCAGATAAACCTTCACCCAGCCTCCCTTGATAGTAACATCCTGCGTAATGCATAGCTATAATTTAATATCAGAACCAAGAAACTGGCATTGATGCAAGCCACAGTGCTTATTTGGGTTTCAACAGTTACATATGCATTAATTAGTGTGCGATTGCATATATAGTTCTATGCAATTTTATCACATGTGCAACTGTGCAAATACCACCACAATCAAGATACAAAACAGTACTGTTATCAAGTGGTACCTCAGCTATGATAGCCACACTAATCTATGTCCCACCCTTCACCCCAAGTCCTGCTACTGATTTGTTCTCTATAACTACAGTTTGTTATTTCAAGATGACAGATGAATGGAATCATACCATAAATATCACTCTTGAGTAGGATTTTATTCACTTCAGTATACAATGTGTGTAAGACCCATGTTAGTCGCCACATTATCATTAGCTTGTTACTTTAACAGATGATTAGTCTTCTGTGTAGATGCACATTTTCATTTCTCTAGCACAAATACTCAAAGTGAAATTGCTGGGTTGTAGGGTAAGTCAGGTACTAATTTTTTTTTTCCCAGATACTAGTTTTAAAAGAAATAGCCCAACTATTTTTCAGAGTGGTTGTCATTTCTACCAGCACTGTATAAGTGACACAGTTTCTGTGTGCCCTTAGCAGTGTTTGATATTGTCATTATTTTTTCTCTGACCCATTCTGATAGGTATGTAATGATATGTCATTATGGTTCTCATTTATATTTTCCTAATGACCAATGGCCACAGCTTTTCATGTACTTATTTGCCAGCAGTCTATAGTCTTTAGTGAAATAGTCTCATTTTTTGCCTCTTTTCTAGTTGGACTTGATCTCTTGAAATGTTTTACTATTGAACATTTAGGGTTTGATATATAGACACACATACACATATATGTTTTAGATACAAAGTCCATTGTCAGTATGTTATGTAAAAATATTTCCCCCCAGTATCATTTGCATTTTCATTCTCTTAATAGGGTCGTTCACAGAGTAAATAACTTCTTAAATTTTGATGTGATCCAGTTTGTCATTTTTTTTTTCATTTTACTCACTTTTCATTCAACCAATAATTATTGGATGTCTACAACTCCTCAAGATAATGCTCTTTGCACCCAAAGATCTCGGCTTTAATAATAGTCAGGAAGGCAGCCTGTCAGGAGGATCATGAGAAGGGATGGTCCCAACTGCAAGGCATTTTCAGTCTAGTTGGGGAGACTGGAGATACATCCAGATAACTACTATTCTATAACAAGTGCTAAGTGGTAGAAAGAGAACTAGAGATACAGGATTTTAAAGATCAAATCCTGTATTTTGTTGATAAGGAAGTAGTAGGTCAAAGTTTCACTCTATGCCAGAGAATGCCACAAATGACACAGAACCTTCTTTTAGAATTCATTTCATATTTCCCAGGTTAAAATTATAATGTTTAGAGGTTCCCTGATGACACAAAGAGGTTAAGTCTGAGCACTATGAAGCTATCAGCAATCACTGCAGCATGAGTTCAATCCCTAGCCGCGGAGCTGACCCATATGGCACAGCAGACCTTTCCTGTCTCACCCGCTGCTCTCCTCAGCAGTGTATTTCAGTCAACTCATCTGTTCTGCTCCCCACTTTGTCTGTGGTGAATCCTCTCACCCTTCCCAACCTCCCCACACCTCTAGCCTACAACCCAGCTCTTGTATTCATAAATTAAAAAAAAAACTTTAAAAAATTATAATGTTTAGTTTACTAACATATATCATTATGTGAAAAATAATTTTTCATATATAACATCAATTGATAATAATATTGCAGGGCAGTGAAGAAAATCACACCATATTTTATATTTTGGGACTTCAATATTCAGCAAAGCTAAGTAACTTGCCCAAGGTTACACACCCATGAAGTGGTAAGGTCAGACTGGGTTTGCAGTTTTGTGATTAATATCTTAATTCTACCAGAATGCTTTCAAGCTATGTTCTTTTCCTGCCAGTATAAACTCATCAATCTTCTAAGAAAGAAAGTGTCTGATTCATATTTTAAAAGAAAATGTGACAGATACATCTCCTTGTGTGAGCGAAAGTCAATGAGCTCTTCTTGATAAAGGAAGAATCCAGTAAAACGCACACAATGGTCAGGATCATACAGAAATGAAAAAACAAGAGCTGCCTGTGAGTCATGAGGGGCAAACAGAGGGATGGATATTGCTGGAAATTAGCAAAATTGCATTGAATAGCAGCTCAGGATGGAATAATCAAGAAAGCAGCATTTCAGGTCATCTCTCAGGCCTTATTGTTACCCAAATCATTTTCAGTTGCCAGACCTTTTGTGGGGAATGTTAAAAAAAAAAAATCAATAGTGGCTCTAGTGAAGAATTGAAGCTGTGCCTGTTTCTGACCTGAAGGACCACAAAGAGGAGACTGGGGCTCCTTTTCATTCATAGTATCTCTGGATATCCACAACTACTTTCTCCCTGTCTCATTTGTGACCTTGCCAAAATTATTGTACTGATCTGTACTTTTCTTTTAAAATGCTTACAACTTAGGGAAGAGTCTGTAAAGATACAAATTTATATATATACCTAGTTTTGTAGACACCTGCATGATGCCAAATAACCTTTGAATCGCACTCCCAATTCTTGTCACAATGCAGTCGTTGTGGGGCCACAGAGAAGCAGTCCTTTCACATTCTGCATTTAAACTTTTACCCTGCTGGTCTGGGATCCAGTTGCAGAGCTGAGGTTTTCATAAGGCCTGCACATAATGGAGGATGAGTATTTACATGTGGCTCATTGTTGACCGACAGTACGGAGGCATGTGTAGGGGAGCGTTCATGAATTACCTGTCTGCATTTGGATAGACTTGACTTAATTATTGACCCTGCTCACTCACCAGCAATCAGAACATCCTCTGCTTGACAAGGGGAAAGCCCAGGCCTGGACTGCCCCAGGGGTAGACTCACACCCAATGTAGAGCACATGAGTTTTCTCAGGCAGTGTAGTGGGCTCGCTGGGAAAGAGACTTACCTCATTTTGAATCCTGACCACTGAGGAAATAATTCTGGAGCTTCCAGGTGCCACCAGGAGAAGGCAGACATTTGAACACAGATGCCTACAGAGGAAGGCAGAGAGGAGAGGAAGAAGAGGGAAAAGAAGAAAAGGCAAAGGGAGAGAAAGAGAAGAAAGAGGTTGAGACTCTAGTTTTACTTTTGGCATCACTAATCCACATGTGCCTGAAGTTAGACCAATTGTCTCATATAACAAAAGGTAAAAATATAAACAGTAGACAAATAATTTTGCGTGTAATTTATCTAGGAGGATACACAAGGAATCACAGGTTGCTTCTTGGGAAGTAATATGGTAAGGGATCTTGTTAATTGGGTTGCACTTTTTGAGTTTTTGTCTCATGGGAGTGCTAATCAAGCAGAAATAAATTAAAAAGGAATATAAATAAAATAGAAACAAAACAAACTTTCTTTCACTTTAATCAGTTTGTGGATTGTAAAATCCCTTTAACAGAGGAAGCCAGATCTTGAGAGACATCATCAGCTCCTTTATCTTCTAAGTTCCCTTCTAAAAGTTTTTTTGTTCGCTTGCTTTTGTTTTGTGGACAGATCAGTAAACGAGCTATCCGTTTTTACTGAACAAATTTACAGGGCAAGCACGACCTCGATCGCCATCCTGATAAAGGATTCCCAGGATTTTAGGAATAGCCAATAGTTTGTGCTCCACAAACTATTCTGGCTTCCATTCTGCAGCTAACGCTGACAATGGCCCAGTTGTGGGGCCTGAGGCGGGTGTCTCGGAAGATTCCGGGCCTAAAGGGTGTGAACGCGCAATGAAGCCCAGAAATGGAGGGGAACCTTTCAACTCCCAGAGGACCTGGAATTCCTGGCATGCACCTGGGAGCGTTTTTCACTCTAACAATCTTTTGCGCATCCTTCTCACAGCGCGGGCTCACCACCCGGGCGTTGCGGCAGCAAAGGGGGACTTTGGGAGACTTGGACCCAACCCAGCCCTGTGCTGAATGAATGAGCGTCGCTAGCACACATTCATGGGAGAATCAGTGGAATGCAGACCAGGGGATGGGTCATCGCGGTGACTTTAAACCCGGGACATGAAGTGAGGAAGAGGTTTGGGTGCAGAAGCGCCAAGCCAGCTTCGGCGAGGCTCCTTTGAGAGGGCGCCTACACTCCCGCGGGCGGGCGGTGGTGTTGGTAGAAGTCGGTCGCTCCAGGATCCGGTGACCCGTCACTCCGCGATTAAAGAAGGACCGGACCCCCGGGGTTCAGAGGCTGGGCAAGGAAAAACCTTACTTTAAAGCCGGGAACGACCCGAAGTCGCTCCTGGGGTCTCCGGGGCCGCAGCCAGAACACTGCACTGCGCGGAGCCGGAGAGACCAGGGAGGGGCGCGGGTCCCCGCCCCGGGCGCGCGCAACCCCGGCCCCGCCCCTTCCCTGAACCCCGCCCCTCCCG